ATGGATGGTGAAGAAATTGAGATTGTTAACAACTTTAGTCGGCTTGGCTCCACAGTCAATATTCTTGGCACCAGCACTCAGGAAGTTAAAAGATGTATTGCGATGGGAAAGTCTGCTGTTAGGGACCTCTCCAAAGTACTGAAGAGCAATGGTGTCTCTCTGGAGACTAAGGTGTGTCTGATACTGGCTATTGTAGAATTAGTATAAGTGTCCAAGAAGGGTGGGAGAGGCTGGAAGCAGAGGGATGTGGATGTGCAGCAGGCAAGGGATATTAATAATTGAGTTTTGTAATTTGATGCGTGGGAGGCTGAGGGAAATTGAAAGAACTTGTTCAAGTTTGTGTTCAAATGTTGTAAATAAATTAGAAAAAAATTTAAAATATTGTAAAAAGTACAAAAATTCTAAAGACAAAAAAGTTGGAAAAGTGATATGTCAAATCACAATAATGCTTCTTCCAAAAACTCAAGTCACAACTTATAACTGATCCTGAAGCACTTGTTGTAAAAGGTCAGGTGGATGACTACTTGTTCTTTATAATTTTTTTATTTCTCTATGTTTTTATTTTCTACTCATTTATTTACAGATGTTTTTAAATCTTTTGGCTGGAATAATGTAACACCTTTAAAATCAGAGATAATGATGGGAATAGACAAAGAGAACTATGAAGTTTAATTTAATTGGGTTTTATCTATTAGATGTATAAGACTTATTCCCTGCAATTCATCAATTTCTTTGTCTTTACACATAACAGAGGGCTCAGAATCAGAAAATCAAAAGATGAGTTGCATTAGAAAAGTCTCCTATCAGAGAATTCTCCAGAGTGCTAAAGAACAACAGTGTCAGTCTAAAGACTAAGATGTTCTTGTTCCAGGCCATGGTCTTTGCAATTACTTACTATGCATCAGAGAGATGGACATTGACTAAGAATGAGAGAAGAAGAACCAATGCCTTTGAGCTGTGTTGCTGGAGAAGAGTATTTAACATACTATAAGTTGCCAAGAGAACAAACAAGTCTGTCCTGGAGAAAGTGAAACCAGGTTACTCCTTTGAGGCAAAGATTTTTAAACTCTGCCTCCCATATTAGGAGGATGTTATTGAGAGGGACATTGTGCTTGGAAGGGTGGAGTGTCAGTACAGGAGAGGAAGGCCCTGGATGATATGGATTGACTGGGGTAATAGGGGAAGGTATGTCAGAGACTGAGTTTGCCTCCTCAGGACAGGGCAAAATTCAAAGCTATTTTTCATAAGGTTTCTATGAGTTGTAGATTACTCAACAGTACATAACAACAACAACAACTATATATTCATAGCCCTCAACTCTCTCCAGCACCCTTCACCAATCAGACATCTTTTGTGTGTTAATGTAGGAAATCTGAAATTATTTTTGAAGGTCATATTCTTCTTTGATGAGTTTGTTGTTGTTATTATGTGCCTTCAGTCACTTGCGACTCATAGTAACCCTATGTACAACAGCCCTAAACTCTGCTCTGTCCTGTGCCAACCGCACATCTCCAACACACACATCCAGATTACCCCAGTCATTGAATCAATCCACCTCATAGAGGGCCTTCCCCTCCTGCGCTGTCCCTCCACCCTACCAAGCATGATGTCCCTCTCCAAGGACTCCATACAACATGTCCAAAATATGTTAGACAGAGCCTCAGAATCCTTGCCTCCAGGGAGTGGCCTAGTTTAACCCTTTCCAGGATGAAGCTCAAAGGCATCAATTATCCTTCTATCCTCCTTAGTCACTGTCCAATTCTCTGATGCCTAACAAGTGATTGCAAAGACCATGACGTGTATCAGACACACCTTAGTCTCCAGAGAGACACCATTGCTCTCCAGTACTTTGGAGAGGTCCCTAACAGCAGACTTTCCCATCGCAATACATCTTTTAATTTCCTGGCTACTGGTGCTGAGAGTTTTGACTGTGGAGCCAAGAAAACTAAAGCTGTGAACAATCTCAATTTCTTCACCATCCATCCTGATGCTGCCAATTGGTGATGGTGCCAGTGGTGAGAATCTTTGCCTTCTTGACATTGAGCCTCAATCCATATTGGAGGCTGCAGTCCTTGACCCTCTGCAGCAAGTGCTTCAGGCCCTTCTCAGTTTTAGCAAGCAGGGTTGTGTCATCTGCATAATGCAGATTGTTGATGAGTCTACCTCCAATTCTGATGCCACACTTCTCCTCATAGAGCACAGCCTTCCGAATAATCTGTTTCACATATAGATTGAAAAGATAAGATATGGAGATAGGACACATCCTTGATGCATACCCTTCACAATTTTGAACCATGCAGGGTTTCCTTGCTTTGTTCTGACAACTGCTTCCAGGCTCAAGTATAGGTTTCACATAAGCACAATCAAGTGTTCTGGGATGTACACTCCTGTATACAAGTATGTACACTACTGTATAAAAGACTCTAAAAATAAGATTTTATTATTCTCATCCAACTTTTACTAATTGATTAATACTAGTTTAGAGGAATTGGCAGATTCTAACCTGGCTACACTATATTCTAACTCAATCTTCTGAAACAGTATAGAAAATAGAATACAAAATTTGTTTTCATTCCCTTTCTACAAGTGATGAGAAGTTATAGGGTTAAACAACTGTCACATTCATTCTCTAATAAAGACACACGTAATGGAAGGTAAAATCATAGCAAGAATGACAATTTGTGTATAAGCACAAATTTAAAGTGTTTTACGATTATTTTGTATGGAAATAAACAGCCACAATTAGTCCCTGGAAGGGTCTTAAGTGTCTTAAAGCTACTAACCACATAGTTATCAGTTAGAATTCACCAGCCTCAATGCAGGAGAAAGGCAAGTAGTCTTTTTCTCCTGTAAAGGTTTGTTGTTGTTGTTTGTTGTTTAATGCCTTCGAGTCGTAGACGACTCATAGCAACCCTATGAACGAACAGCCTGAGCACTGTTCGTACATAGAGTTTCCAGAGGCAAGCCATTTTGGAAGTGGATGCCGCTCCTGCTTCCACTGCTTTAAAAACTCCATAGAGGGTTGAGAGAAAAGAAAAATACCAATTCAATGGCAGTGGTAGGTAATAGATGCTAATGATAAAAGATAGGCTTTGCTGATTTTAAATCCTTACCATTCTCTTTTATGATTATATCTACCAGGTAAACAACGTACACGGAGAAGAAACAAAACCTGAGATTCATTAAAGCATTGTATTTAAAAAAGACTTGCTCAGTTGACTAAAGTTTTTAACCCTTTAGTCAGCTTACTTTGATCTTTCATAAACATATGTTCACTGAAAGGAAATGGAAACTCACTTTCTCTAACATCATCTAAAGTTTGTGAGGCAAGTGAAACAGTAGTGTTTCTAAAAAGTTGCCAGTCAGCAATTAATATTTGCAAGGAGGTCGGTGGCGCCCGGCGCCTTAGGCGCCTCGGGGCGCTGTTGTGCGATGCTGCCACCCACGAATTAAAACCCACTCCGAGCTCAAGGACCTTGCTTCCCCTGGTGGCTATGCAGCGGCCTTCCTCGGTCTCAACACTGGGCTTGGCCTACCTGTCCCTCGGCGAGACACAACTGGAGGAGCGGGCGCAGGGTCTAACAGACCAGGGTCGCCCAAGGGCGAGCGCATCAGATCATACTGGTCCCAAGTTTGACACCGATGTATTGGTTTCACTTCTGCGGCAAGAAAATGAAAAAGACATTTGTGTAATCCAGGTTCCCCCCGAGATGAAATACACAGAATACTTCGTGATTGGGAGTGGAACCTCTACCAGACACTTAAATGCCATGGCCATCTATATTGTGAAAATGTACAAATACTTGAAGTGTAAAAGTCATCCTCATGTTAAGATAGAAGGAAAGGACACGGATGACTGGCTTTGCATCGACTTTGGCAACATGGTGATTCATTTGATGCTTCCTGAAACCAGAGAATTCTATGAATTAGAGAAATTATGGACTCTGCGTTCTTATGATGACCAGTTAGCTCAGATAGCACCTGAGACGTTACCTGAAGACTTCATTCTTGGAAGAGAAGATGACACTTCATCGCTGACTCCAGTGGAGTTCAAGTGTGAATGAAGTTCTATGAACTGCTGTAGTTATTTCAGATTTGGATTGAGTTGCTTCTCGTAAATTATTGCTCCTTACCAAATAGGCCACAAGAGCTACTTACTTGGTTTACTGCTGTTACATGCCCTTGAGTTGAATATGACTCAGTGTATACATCCATCTCATTGGGGATCTTCCTCTTTACTGTCTCCTCGCCTTCCCTAACTACTTGCCAAAGGCTGCAAGACACGAAGCAAGATTTATCTTGCTTCATTTTTGGCAGCCCATGGGATATTCCGCATTCTTCTCTAGCACAACTCAACAGCATAGCTGCTTCTATCATCCTTATTCACTGTCCAGCTCTCAGATGCATTACAAATAATTAAAAAGCACCACAGCCTGAATAGTAGTTAACACAAGCCATGTTTACCTCAGGCACTTGGAGACTGGGGTTAAGTGAGCTAATACCTCACACCAAAAATAAGCTCTTAACCCGTCTCTCTTCCTTGGAATTCTAACAGGATTTTGGGGGATTAGGGTGGGCTCCTTTGCTTCTCTTGAGCTCTGCTTACAAATGGTAATTTTGCTTACATATAACTCTTATGTGATAGAGTGGAATGGCCAAATTAAAAACATCAGATTTGATCCATTTTTCTGAGGTGTTCTCTCACTGCCACTGAGCCACAGATACTCCTAGCCGAGCCTCCAGTGTGTTTAATACTGTAAACGTGCACGGGAAGAGACTGCCAGTGGGTTTGAACTTCCAGAGAGGCCTTGGGTTGGCAGCACAATCCTTATAAACCAGAGTTCCCTGAGGTGGTAAAAGTAGCAGTAATCCTAGGCTTTTTTTTTTTTTTTTGTGAGACTTCTAAATTTCAAGAGTTCTCTACATAACAGATTCAGAGCTTTTGAAGTCTGTTAACACCACCAAAATTTGATGTTGGGAAACTGGGTCCCAGACAGCTGATACTGATGTTGATATGTGCCCAATGAACTACAGATCATGTACCTGTCCTGTCCTGTGGTCATTGATATTTTCTGTTTATTATGTTGTTTGGGAGCTGTGGTGGCTTAGTGGTAAGCAGTTGTTCTGCCAACCCAAAGGCATGTGATTCCAATCTACCAGTCACTCTGGGGTAAAGATGGGTAGTCTCCTCCCATGCAGCTGCCTGCCTTTGAAAACTCACTAGAATCAGCTACTCGACAATACACAATAACCACAACCACAGGACAGAAGCAAGCCAACATTTGGACAAGTTTCAAGTCTCCTGCATCCTAAAAGTCATCCACTATCAATGTGGGGCACGGGGTGTGTGTGTGTGTGTGTGTGTGTGTACATGACTGGTTTTTTGGGGATAAAACGTTTCTCCCCTACTTAAAACCTCTAATTTTTTGTTTATACTTACAATTTATACCTTTGGTTAAAGCCTATAATTTGTTTTCGTTTAACAGTGTTACCTAGATCCACATCGAGTTTTATGGAATAGAAAATTAATCACCAAATAGATTATTAGTGCTTATCTTGAATCTGATGGAGAATATTACTAAACGTGTTTCAGTTTTTGTTTGCTCAAATTCAGAGCATTCACATACACTGGAAAACCAAAAATAAAACACCACACATTAAGCTAAAAAAAAAAAATATTTGCAAGGAGAATCCTTGGTAACAATATCATCTTCTCTTATCCATATCAGACATGATAGAATAAATGAAATTGCTTCTCTATAATGCCTACTTTCTCTTATTTGATATAATCAGGATTATTTTGGAAATATGAGAATACTGAAAGATCTTAGAAATCATAATGGGAAATTAATCTTAAAGCTTAGGAAAACTAATATTCATTTTCAAATTTAGGTACCATAAAATGATACATGTTTGTTTGGATCTATTATTCTTCTTATAAGCACAGGAGCTTCTGCATAACATTTGCTGTTAGGTGTCATCAAAAAGACTCCAATTTAACAAACTATAGATAACTGATTGTCCCACACTTAAAGCAAAAAATATTTGCTTTAAAAAAATTATTCTCTGTTGAGGGACAGTACCTTCAGAATAAGTGTAAATTTTTGTAAAAAGTAGGAAAATAAATAACTGAAACATACATTATATAATTCATTATATGCACAATTCTTAATAAGAATATTTTAATGTAATTTTGAAAAAAAAGACAGGTTTTTAAGTAGACTCACAGTTAGTAGACTCACATTAAAACAAATATTAGGCAAGCATAGGACAAAGATAGGTATAAACCAGAATATAATGTAAAAGTGGATTAGAAGTGGAGTGCACACACATACACACACACACAAAGTGGAACACAATTTGTAGATTCTATACCATCCACTTGTTTTTAAACCATTCAATTCTTGCTAAAGAATTCAAAGACAATTATGTAAAGATGAAGTTCCAATATCAAAACAGCATTTTAAAATAGTATTATTAACTCAAAGTCATTACTCTTGAGTTCAAGTCAACCACAGATAACCCTCCCTTGTTTATTCCAAGGCTGCAAATGACACAGAATGTGACTGACCATCTTTCTCCCAAGGAGTGGCTGGTGGATTAGAACCATCAGGAAGGTGTAGCCTTTGGGCTGTCATGCTGGAGAAGAGTATTGACTATACCATGAATTGCTAAGAGAACAGATTTGTCCTGAAGAGAGGGTGAAACCAGGCTGTTCCTTGGAGGCAAGGATTCTGAAGCTCTGTCTGATATAACTTTGGGCATGTTGTAAGAAGGGACCAGTCCTTGGAGAGGGACATAAAGTTTGGGGGGGGGTGGAGGGACATCTCAGGAAGGGAAGATCCTTGATAAGACAGATTGACTCAGTGACTGGGTAATAGGGGTAGGTGTGTCAGAGATAATATGGTTGCCTGAGGATAGAGCAGGGTTCAGAGCTGTTGAACATAGTATCGCTATGAGTCGCAGGCAAATTGACAGCACATAACAACAACAACAACAACACACACACACACATATTTAATCGATTATTCTAAACAATTTCCCAGTGAATCAGCTTCTTTTTATTTATTGGAGTCTAATGAATGCATATTGTACTTGACCTTTATCTATAAGCCAATCACAGTCTTGCCAGTTATCACTGTATTGTTCCTTATGGTGTCTTTTCCCCTTCATTCCCCATCTCTTTATAAATGTTTACATTAACCAATATCACTTTGTCTTATTTGGATCTATTATGAATGTTACTAATGATAGCTTGTTAAAAATATATTTCATTGTGTTATTATTCCACTGCTCAGAAATATAGTATCTCTATGTATTTACCAGCCTTCTTTGCTCAGATTTTCTAGAATCCCTTAAACTCATCCAATTTACACATGTACCCTTTCTTTTTTTCCTCAACATAATGCTTCCATTGCTTACCAAAAATTTCTAATAAGCATAATCTATTCCTTTTTGAGACTTAATAAGTGCGTTGTTGACATCTGTCTTAATTGTCTCCCTTGATTGTTTCTCAACAAAATTACAATTTTTGTACATTTTTTAGTTGCGTTTTGAGTAAAAGTTACAGAGCATATTGTTTTTTCATGCAATTATTCAGATACATTTTCTTGTACATCATTGATTGCGATATTCACACTGATAATCCCTTTATTGTCTATGGGTTTTTAGTCACTTAAGTGTCTATTAAAATTTATTATTTTTTACTCCTCTCTCCCTCACTTCCCATTCCAGTAATCACCCAAGAATAATTTTATCTTTATGTAGACTTTTGTTGGCTCTTTATACTAGTGGTGTTATGTAATATTTGTCCTTTTGAGTTAGACTTATTGAATTCAGCAGAATATCTTCTATATTCATAAATGTTGTGCAACATGAATTCTTCATCATTCTTTATGGTTGCATTCTAATTTTTGCATTCCATTGCGCAGTGTACCTTAGTTTCTTTATTCACTTGTCCAATTATAGATACTCAATAATGTCTTTCATCTCTTTGCTAATGTAAATAATACTGCAATGAACATGTGTATGCATATATTAGTTCTTGTGGCAGCTTTTATTTCTTTGGGATATTATCAGTAGTGGGATTGCTGGAACAAATAGTATTTCTATTTTTCAACTTTTCTTAGAAAGCACCAAATTGCTTTCAATAGTGATTGCACCATTTTATAGTCACACCAGCAGTGACTAAGACTTCCAATTTCTCCACACCCTAGCCAGCATTTGTTTGCTATCTTATAGAACCAGGAGTGGCATCCACTTCCTAAACAACATGCCTCTGGAAACTCTATGAACTTTAATAAATGATTATAGTTATCGAAAGGCTGCAGTTCTTTTGTTCATAGGGTTACTATGAGTTGTGCTCAACTCGACTGCAATCAAAAACAATAACAACAATGAGATCTTGCTGTTGTTTTGATTTGCCTCTCCATGATAAAGAATGAGGAAGCTCTGGTGTTTTAGCAGTAAGGAATTGTACTGTCAACAGAAAGATACATGGTTTGAATCCAGTAGATGCTCTACAGAAGATATGCAGTCTCTTCCTATGTGATTTACTGCCTCTGAAAACAAATGGGAGGGTCAGCTATGGGTCAGTTCCAACTTGACAGTATGCAACAACAATAATAACTACTGAGCATTCATATTTCTTTGTGTGTTTGTTGACCATCTGAATACTCCTCTGGTGAAGTGTCGTTCCATGTACTCTGCCCATGTTGAACTTGAATTGTCTTTTGTGCTGTTGTAAACATATTGGGGTTTTCTATACATTTTAGAGATTAATTCTTTTTCACATATATAATTGCCGGTTTTTTTCCCTTCGGCATATAGATCTTTTTACTATTTTGTAGAAGTCATTTGATACACATAAGGAGTGAAGAAGACTTGATGAACCTAGAACCAACTACAGCCTTCATTCAAAATGGGCTATACCTCAACATCAAGAAAACAAAAATCCTCACCACTGGGCCAATAGAAATCATGATAGATGAAGAAAAGATTGAATGTGTTAGTGATTTTATTCTCTTGAACCACAATCAGCATTCATAGTATCAGCAGTCAAGAA